CCTTCAGGGAGACGGAGATGTTAAAAGGTTCGTACCGGAAGCGAGACGGTTCGCTGCTGTTCATGAACATCGATGCACTCGGGATCAGCACTGTCACCTGGTGTCCTCTGTCCACCAGCGTCTCCAGTACCGGCTTCATGTTGATCCAATGGCTGGCCTCAGTGTACCACACCAAAATTTTCCCTCCATTTGAGCTTTCTGCAGCACAAAGCAGCAGCAGGACGCAGACAGACAGACGCAGCTCCATGGTGGCTGTGTGTCTGTAGAAAACCCGCTGTTGTGCTTTTATGAGCTGCACCTTAAAGATACTGATTAACTAAATGAACTCTGACTTATTTCTCTTTGTACCTAATGATGCAAGATAACAGCCGTCCATTTACCTCTTTAATAGATTTCCTGGGCTGAGCCTAAGCAGACAGAGAAAGTTCAAATAGGATAATGTGATTCACATTGGTGTTTGGAATTGGAAACAGTTTTGGAACTGTAATCCTCAGTTTGGTATTAAAAAAATCATGAATTTGGATTCCTTTAATTTACCAGGATGAACTGTTATCACCCATTCTTAGAGTAAATTAATATTATTTCATGCTAACTTTGACTGACATGTCAATATAGTTATTGTATGCAAACTAATGCCTTGTTAATTTAATGAAAGCCACATCATTGCATTTGGACCTCAAGGAGGACCTTCAGCACCGTCTAACTACCTATTACTACCAATCTATTAATTAAGCTATCACCTATAGTCATCCTCCTACCACTTCCTCTCCTCTTCTTCATCTTTTCCACCAGGAGTAGCATCTCCCCATTTTCTTGTGTTCTTGAGATCACATTTCAACTTTTGTCTGATTTTGTCGCAATTCCAAAACAAAAAGGAAAAATAAACCTAGAAATAAGAAGTTATTTTCTGATACTTCTTCTCAGTCTCTGCTCTCTAAGTTGTGATATAAGCAGTGTGATTATTTCAGTCACACAAGACATTTAAATACATACAGTATGAGGGAGATGAAAAATAATGAAGCCGGTGGTTTAAAAAACAAAAAAAAACAAAAAAAAACTTATTTCCCATTTCTCTTTTTATTGTCTGGGTAAAGGGTTAAATTCAGTCAATAAGAAAAAGCCAGTGTAGATATATGTGCAGTTCAGGTGATGGTTATAACAAGATAAATAAAATAGATAATCTTATTACTATTTCATTTGATTATTTCTCCAGTGTCTGAAAAGTATGAGCAGATACAGCTTCAGTTTTACAGTTTTGCTAGAATTTGGGTTCGTTACACAGAAACGCCACTGGAGGGCGCACAGTGTCCAAAGGTACTAATCAACAGCAGGAAACGCGGTAGAATAAATCCTGGCAACGGCTGATCCCAATATGCACCTCCGACCTGTCTATCTTATCCAAACAGATGGGTTGTATGTCTCCAGTATTAATCAGTTCAGGTAGAACTTCTATAAAAAGATTGATAAAACTGTGAGGAGTTGACCGATGACGAGTTAGCTCTAACACTTGTGTTATATGCAGTGCTAACGGCTAACGAACTTAATGCTAAGCTAAGGTACAAATGATGGGTTATTAGGCCCGAGCAGCTAAGCGCTGCGAGAGCCTATTGAAACTGTACTGTTTCTTATTATTATTTTTTT